ACTTTGTTATCAAGAACCCTCTGTGCTCACCTGAAAGGAATCTGCTCACCTGAAAGGAATCTGTTCACCTGAAAGGAATCTGCTCACCTGAAAGGAATCTGTGCTCACCTGAAAGGAATCTCTGCTCACCTGAAAGGAATCTCTGCTCACATGAAAGGAATCTGTGCTCACCTGAAAGGAATCTGTGCTCACCTGAAAGGAATCTGTGCTCACCTGAAAGGAATCTCTGCTCACATGAAAGGAATCTGTGCTCACCTGAAAGGAATCTGCTCACCTGAAAGGAATCTGCTCACCTGAACGGAATCTGCTCACCTGAAAGGAATCTGTGCTCACCTGAAAGGAATCTGCTCACCTGAAAGGAATCTGTTCACCTGAAAGGAATCTGCTCACCTGAAAGGAATCTGTGCTCACCTGAAAGGAATCTCTGCTCACAAAGGAATCTGTGCTCACCTGAAAGGAATCTGCTCACCTGAAAGGAATCTGTTCATCTGAAAGGAATCTCTGCTCACCTGAAAGGAATCTCTGCTCACCTGAAAGGAATCTGCTCACCTCAAAGGAATCTGTGCTCACCTGAAAGGAATCTGTTCACCTGAAAGGAATCTGCTCACCTGAAAGGAATCTGCTCACCTGAAAGGAATCTCTGCTCACCTGAAAGGAATCTGTGCTCACCTGAAAGGAACCTGTGCTCACCTTGCAGGGGAAAGAAAGCTCCTCACCTCAGCCCCTTTCCTGTCAGGTGTCCTGGACAAGGGTTCCCTTTGAGCACCCCTGAAGTTGCTGACTCCCTGTTTCCAAGAGCCCTGCCTGTTCCCTGGGAATTTCACGGGGTCCAGACTGGGAAAGAGCCTCCCAGCAGCATTTTTTTAACTCCTGCAATATGCTCTGCCCCCTCTTTGGTGTTTCCAGGGCAGAGAGGGACACCCAGGGAGCTCACCTGAGAGCTGGCTGGCCATTCTGCGCAGGGTGACCGGGGATGGCTTCAGTGGCATCGAGCCTTTTTCCAAAAACACCAGCCCGTCCGCTGTGTATCTCTGCTCTGAGTCCTTCAGCCTCCCCAGAGGGTTCTTGATAACAAAGTTCTGGGCATAACGCTCCAGTGGGTCATCCAGGGATGTCACTTTTCCTTCCTCCCACATCTTGTACAACATGATGGTGGGGAAGATCTTGGAGACGCTGGCAATTCTGTTAGGGGAAAAAACATTTGGAGAAATTTAGCATCAAGAAGCCCATGAATCAAGAGGAAAGAAAAGATCACCATGATTTGATTTTTATATTTAATTTATATATTTAATATTTAATTTTATATTTTATTTTTATATTTTATATATTATATTTTATTTTTATATTTTATATATTATATTTTATTTTTATATTTTATATTTTATGTTTATATTTTGATTTATTTATATTTATATTTTATAATTTGTTTTATATTTTATTTATATATTATATAGTATATATTTTATTTTTATAGTTTATATTTTATTTTATATTTTATTTTTAATATTTATGTTTGTATTTATATTTATTTATATTTAATATATATATTTTATATTTTGTTTTATATTTTATTTTTAATTTTTATTTTATATTTATATTTACATTTACATTTATATTTACATTTATTTATATTTATTATTTAAAAGAATTTATATTTTATTTTTGCTCATTCCAGAGGAAATTGCTAAAATACAGGTAGGAAGTCTGAATTAATATCCTTAAATCTGAGTTTTTATAAGCTGCAACATAACCTCTGTCTGTCCCCAGCAGTGCAGTGGGCTGCTGATCTCTTTCCATTCACTTGGCATTCATAAAACAACAAAACTGTAAATTACTGCTTAGCAAACACCATCAAACCCCTCCAGCAGTTTACTGGAATTTTAAGGCTAAAATCACAGAACCATTTAGGTCAGAAAAGACCTTTCAGATCATCAAGCTGGAGCATTCACCCAGCACTACCAAACTGCCCCAAAATTCCAGGTTTTCCCAGTTTTGTGGCCACCCAGGCCGTCCCCGTGGCGCAATCGGTCAGCGCGTTCGGCTGTTAACCGAAAGGTTGGTGGTTCGAGCCCACCCAGGGACGTGGCCCTGACTCCTGGACCCTGGTGGGGGGTTGGAACCCCCTTGGGTTGTCCCTTACAATCCAAATAATTTGGTGGTTCTGGAGGAAAAACAGCAGGAGGTTGTTTTACCGTTATACAGATTGGGAAGGAACCCGTTTTGGAAAAAATCACAGCTGCTGAAACTGTCCAAAATCGTTCACTCTGAGAAAATTTCACAGTCAGAATGCAGCCCATGTTTCTTAGCACAGTTACAATTCACTGAAAACTGATCTTTAGAGGGAGGAAGCATTTCCTTCCTCTTTCTTTTTGGTTTTTAGCACAACAATTAACAGCTTGGTTCTGTCTTAACCTAAAAAAATGACAGCCAATATGAATTTGACTTCACTGGAACGATGAATAAGCTTATGGGTCTACTTGACATGTTCAGTAGATATTAATCCCAAAAATCAGTTTTTTTCTAAACTGACATTTACTATTATTTTTTGAACCCTGTGACATTGTTTCCTCCCTGATCTCCAAATCTGTGCCAGCTCTTGGTCTTCAGGTTTGTGCCCTGGACATGCAGCCATTCCCACGTAAGGAATGTATGTTTTCAGGTTCTTTAGGATCACTGCTATTCCAGTTTAAAATATTCTCAGGATCAAATGAAAAAAATACATAAATAAACCCAAAGTAACTCATTAAACCCCCAGCATGCAATCTGGGAATTCTCTTTTTCCTCACAAAGCACGATCCAGCAGAGCTCCCTGCATGGGCCTGCGGGTTGTGACGGTGTCTCTGTTCCGGGTATCAGCTCTCTGTTTGTGTGTTTTTCCTTTCCTGGCTCTCCCACCTGCGCCAGGTGTCTCACCTGTAGATGGTGTATTCATTGGGCAGCCCTGAGGTGGGGTCAGAGCCGTTCTTCTTCCCGAAATTGCCCGTCCAGAGCACGGTGTCGTTGTAGATGACGATGGCTGACATGGCCGGGAGGCCGGAGCTGTGCATCTTCTGCCGCAGCATCTGATCCACCTGGGGAGGGAAGGGAAACCATGGACTTCCAAAAGAAGGGTTTTACAACGCATCCAGTCTGTACCAAGCAATGGAAACATCCACCCTCATCATCCCAAATCACTCGAGAGTGATCCTATGAACGGTGTTCTGGCAAAAAAAAAAAAAAAAAGGTATTTTTTTTATATTTGTTTATCTGTTTCTTCTAGAATTGCTTCTGTTGAATTATCCCGTGTCCTTTTTCAGTCTACATGACCACTGTGTAGAAGAATGACGTGCTCTTCACTCATTGTGAAGAAGAATGAACCAGCTCACCCTCTGGGCAAGAGAACTGCTCACTGGAGGAGTTTTACACATCCATTTCTAGGTTCACGTGTTCTCCTCAATTCCCCACCTCCTTCCCCAGGGATGCTCAGTGGTAATGATAGTAAAAGGTCTTAAAATCTTAGAAAATTCGGGGATTTAGGAAGAAAGTTAGGTTTGGAAAAGAAGGCCCTGGGAAATGTTAGGCCTTGTGCTTGCTAAAGACCAGGTCAAGCTACATCTGTGTAATCAATATATGATAAATGATAGAATTGTTAGATTTGATTAGATATAATTATTGTTTAGAGAACATGGGGAACAATGTTAGGGGGCTGAGGGGGAATCACGACAAATTCACGCTTGGGTGAAAACAATGCATACAATAGAACAATGTAAGTTTAATAATTAATATGTAAGTTGCATAATGATAAAATATGTTCAACTTGAAAACCCAAATCGGGTCAGATTTGGGTCTGTGTACCCCTGACACCCAGAGCTCTTTAAATAAAGCACCTTCATATAAACATTCGTGGTTATGTGTGTTCCTGAGCGCTAACAGTGAAATCCTCCATCTCCCCTGCACCCCTGGAGAAAAGCAGCCAAGAGCTGTGTGTCCCTCTGGTCCCTCCAGCCCCACAGACCTTCTCCAGTGCTTCCTTCAGGATGGGGAGGGGATGGTCCAGCGGGACCGGCTCAGGATAGCGGGGACACATCTGCACGGCTTCTGACCTCACCTCCATCACGGATGGACCTGGAAAACAGTTCAGGGTGACACAGGTGTACTCCAACAGACACATGGAGAAGCCTGAACCTCACCCAGCAGCCACCACAAGCTTTCTTGGCCTAAGGGACGCTTTGCACGGGGAAGGGACAGCGCTGAATTATTTCTGGTGCCCTGTTATTGCTCATTCCCACATGGGATGGACACGGGATGGGCTTCAACCGACTCTGCAGCCTGGGAGAGTGAAGAACTGGGGCTGCACAAGGCTCTGGCAGTGGGTTTAGCCCCCCTGGAAAGATGTCTGGGGAAGCGCTCCTCAGGGGAGGAAGGGGAAGAAAGCTTTTACTGGTCTTCCAAATCTCTGTGCCACACCCTGGGCAAGGTTAAAACCCCTCTACTCACCGGGCTCCACCTTGGGGAGGCTGTACTGCCACAGGAAGCAGCCGGTCATGGCCACGGAGAGGAGGAAGAGGAGGATGACCAGGACGTGGATCCACTTCACCTCCATGGCAGTGAGTTTGAGGAAGCTCCGGCTGCAGGGCGCCTGCTGGGAATGGAAAAGGAATGGGTTATGGGGGAGAGAAAACACCTGTGTGTGTGTCACAGGGAGAGAGGCCCCTGTGCTGGGGAATAAAGCAGAGACAGGACTGGTGGAAGTGTCCCTGCCCATGGCAAGGGGTGGAGTGGGATGAATTTTAAGGTGTCTTCAAACTGTTCTGGGATTCTGGGGTGATTTCAGTACCATTGCTGCAGCAGGGGAGGGCAAACCAGCCCATGGAACCAGAAATGACTTGATGGCTTTCAGTGAGCTCTCTGAGCCGCTCACTCACCTCTCCTTGTTGGTTCTTGTGGAACCCTGCTCGCTCCTTTTGCTTTCTCCCCTCCCTGCAGGTGAAGCTCATCATCCCAGCCTGGCAGGAGTCTCAGTTACAGCTCTCACTTCCTCCCTTCTCACCACCACTTATCCCTGGATATCTTTCCATCCCCCTTTTCCAGAGCCCAGCATCTGTTCATGACAGCCACCAGCCAGACCATCTGAGCAGATCCAGCTTTTCTAGATGAATGATGGAATTTTTCACTCCGTGCTGCCCTTACCCTTCTCTGTTGTGCCTGTAAATCCCATTCTATCACGTACCATCTGTAAGCTTGGCATTTACAGATGCCATGTTTTAGGAAACTGGCTGATATTTGAGTGTGTGCAGCTCTCAAAACACTGGAGACCATCCAGGTTGGTGAGAGAACCAGATCAATGTTGAAGAAAAACAAGGAACAGATGACAAATGAGGAGGTGCCTGAGCCTGAGCTGTGCTCCTTCACTGCCTGCAGGAGGTCAGGAGGGTGCTTTTGAAAGTTTGGCAATTAATGTTATAAAACATATGGCCTGCCATTTGCATCCAATATGCTCCACATTCCTAAGCTGTTTCAGGTTGTCTGGACTCACTTGTAGGACAGACAGATTGAAATATTCCCTTTAGATTTCCACACAGCTTTTTTTTTTTTCCCTCCCCCCCACCCCTGTTTTTGAGATACAGGATAGTTCACGCAAAAGCTTCTGCAAATCAACTGAGCCTTGTCACTCACAGCCAGGGAATCTGCAGAGCCTCTCCCAGACTTGTGGATCCAGCTGGGTTTTCCAGCCTTCACTGGAACTCTGGGTTGCAGCTCCACTTTCTGCATAATAACAGAAATATATCATAATTTTTCCTGAAGGCCCTCTGCCTGGCCAGGCATTTCTGAAAGCAGCTTATGTCAGGTTCTTCCATAAGATAATTAAAATTCAGGGATGGCTGAAGACTGTGCAGGTGCCTGCAGACCCCACTCACACCTGAGCCTGCCTGGGTGCTCCAGGTCCATATTCCTGACGTGTTTCTAAATAGGGGAATGCCATCCTGACAGCAATCCCACTTTTGTTTGGATATACCAACCTCTTTCAGGGCATTAGCTTGGCAGGAGATTCCATCACTCAAGGAAAAGCCTGTGCTGAGATCTCTTTAATCCCCTCACACTGGCAGGGCTCAGTGTTCAAGGATGTTTTCCTGCAGTGAGGGGTGGGATGGGGCCCTCTGCCCTGGAGTGCTCATGGGATTTCTTGGATTTAGTCACATCTTAATAACATTTACTTCTCCACCAATTTTCAGTTCCTCTGGCCATTTTTCTGCCTCACTGAGAAGCCCTGGTTCCTGAGTCCCAAAGAACAAGGTGAGAAGATTATTTTCTGGTGTGTTCCTCACCTCACGGACTCCAGACTCACTGGGCCACTAACAGAGGACACAAATACCGACTCTGAGCTCATCTTTTAGCCCAAACTCATCCTTCACTCATTTACTTCATGTGGATCCTGAGTGCTCTGAATGGCTCTTTTTCCTTCCCTGTGATCCAGTGGGAATGCAAAAAAACCCCTGGCAGTACCACGGACTAGAGATATGGATCTCTCCTTCACTGATGGGACACCAGATACCCAAAGGTGTGAGAAATATTCATCCAAACCACCTTTCAGGGAAAACACCACTTCTCCCCTGCAGCTGGGAGGCCGTCAGGCGAAGCAGATGGATAGATCCCTACAAACACACATCACAATTCCCACTCCAGGACCTGTCTGCTCTCACCTTCCCATGGCTTCCCCCTCACTCCGTGCCTCTGTGACTGTCGCTGCTCACAGCACAGACACAGCAAGGCAGGGGGAGGGGGACACTGAGCACTTAATCACATGCAAATGAATGCAAACGCATGCAGGAATGAGCGCACGCGGCTTCCCGTGGGGACAGCTTAGCAGTAGGATACCTTTCTTTTTCCCCCCGCTGAGATTTACAAAATTGGGATGGGGAGAAAACTCAGGAATTCCCCATGGACCACCCAGGCCACTGCCCTGCCCCACAAGGCACAGCTCAGCAGGGATTGGGGGCAGCCAGGAAGACCCCCCAGCCCCTCACCTACCACATCCAGGAGCTGCCTCAGTCCCAAAGGCTGTTGTCTCTCATCCAGGCATGTGGGCACCTCAACAACCTCATCCTGGCCAGCCTGAGCCTCGGGCAGGGGCGAGCAGGAGCTCTCAGCATCTCCCCAAGGCAGCTCCGTGTCACGGGCAGGAGCTGCTCCCTCACTGGACTTGGGGTTTGTCTCCCCAAGGATCCTGCTCCAGGTTTATCTCCACAAGGATCCTGCTCCAGGTTTATCTCCACAAGGATCCTGCTCCAGGTTTATCTCCCCAAGGATCCTGCTCCAGGTTTATCTCCCTGAGGGTCCTGCTCCAGGTTTATCTCCCTGAGGGTCCTGCTCCAGGTTTATCTCCTCAAGGGTTCTGCTCCAGGTTTATCTCCACAAGGATCCTGCTCCAGGTTTATCTCCCTGAGGGTCCTGCTCCAGGTTTATCTCCCCAGGAGTCCTGCTCTGGGTTTCCCCATCCATTTGGCCCATCCAGAGAGTGCTGCTGATCTCCCCTGGGAAAGGAGCTTAAGTGACAGGGACAGGATGGCGTTTGCACAGGAAAGTGCCTGAGAGATTGGATGTTAATTCTTCCTAATGCTTCTGTGCCATGTGTGTGAATCACAGCTGAAACCAGGAGGGCTTCACCATCTATTTATAGCAGCTTCATCTCCTCCTGACATCTGAACAGGAGGCGATTAAGCAGGACAGGGACAGTCCCTGAGTGCCTCCAGCCAGCCCCGGGAGCTGCTCAAGGGGAGGGGATGTGGGGAGCTAAGCTGGGAGCTCAGGCACTCTCTGGGCTTAATCCTGCAAGCCTCCTGGAGTTCCCCCTCAGTGACAGACAAGGCAGTCATTCCCAGCTCCCAGGATGAGGATGGAGCTGGGATTTCTTCCCCCTGATCTGCCAGGTACCCTGGAGGATGGCGGGAGGTGCATGAGGGGATCCTTACCCGCAGCTGTAACCCCTCCATGGCTGCTCAGGAGGCTCTTCTCATCCCCTGAGCTTCTGCTCCCCACAAATCGAGGGTTTGCAAACCCCTGTGATGGAGAGAACAGAGTTGGTGCAGGAAAAAAGCAAAGCAAAGAGGTAATGGAGGCCCAAGAAACAAAGCCCAGCTCAGGTAAGCAGGGCTGCAGGGACAGACATGGGGACAGAAATGACACAGGGACATGGGGGCTGGAATGAGGTGGTCTTTAAGATCCCTTCCAACCCAAACCATTCCATGAGATAAACCACAGTAACCACAAAAGTCCTCAGCAACACCTTGGCTCTCTCTGCCTCTGCTCTGGCAGCATCCCAAGCTTCCCATTTCCCTTTCACCTCCAAACACAAGAAACTGAAGCTTTGAGCCCTTCAGAGCTGACACATTTTCACTGTGGCTTCTCCACAGGCTCCTTTGCCTTGTTCCCTCTCCACAGCCAACAACACCCCCTTACCCCTGGGAATCACCCCCACAGCCAAGGGACTGCGTGACAGGACTGGAAGTGCCAGGATAATAACACCACCACCACCTTCCCCACAAAATCTCCCATAAAATCTCCCTCATCCATCTACCTGGCAGCAGCAATTCAATCCCCAACCCGCCAAGAAGAGCTCTTACCGTCCTTGCTGCTACCTCTGGCTTCCAGCTGAGGAATTTGGGGCTGTCCTGCAGCTGCAGATGTTGAGAGCAGCTGAAGCACTAATCCAGCTGCCAGCCTCTCTGAGCACAGATTAACGGGCCAGGCCTCACCCCTCCACAAACAGCTCAGCATCTGTCCAGGGATGCAGCCAGAGGGAGGATTGGAGGTGATCTCCTGGCTCCAGGAGAGCTGCAGAGTGGGAGATGGGGAGTATATTATATTATATTATATTATATTATATTATATTATATTATATTACATTACATTACATTACATTACATTACATTACATTACATTACATTACATTATATTACATTACATTACAGTACATTGCATTGCATTACATTATATCATATCATAACATATCATATCATATCATATCAATTATATGATATTATATAATACAATATCATTATATATAATCTATTTAATGTTAATTACATAATACATTACATAATAGAATGTATTAATTACATTATATTTACTACATAATATGTACTATATTATTACTATATTATTTTAAATCTATTGTATATATTATATAATATTATATTCTATTAATTCTATTCTATTCTATTATTCTATTCTATTCTATTCTATTCTATTCTATTCTATTCTATTCTATTCTATTCTATTCTATTCTATTCTACTCTATTCTATTCTATTCTATTCTGTTCTGTTCTGTTCTGTTCTGTTCTGTTCTGTTCTTTATAAAGTACATCCTAAATGCTCTCCAAAGAGGAAGGTGTGGTTGTGCACCCACTCACATTCCAGATCCAGGGGGATTATGCACCTCAGGGGACCTGCCATCCTATTCCTTCACATCTTCATAGGCAGGGACATTCCAGTTCCATCCCTTCATTCCAGTATCTCCAACAGCATCCCAGAACCTGACAGTGCCCAAAATACCCAGTGGAGCCCGTGCCCCCAGAGCTGTTCCCAAATTTTGGTGAATGGGGCTGCTGATGACCTTCTCTCTAATTAGATCAGCTCAGGCTTCTCACGGTTTTGTCACTCCCCATTTCTGGGAGCTCTGATTTCCTTCTGTCCCTGCTGGTGCTCTTTGTGCCTCCAGTGGTGATTTTTGGTCTGGGCTCCTCTAACACCTTTCTGGACTCTTTCTGTCTCCATGCACACAGGACATTGACTCATCTTGTGGTGCCACCGATGGCTGGAGGTTCCTTATCTCCTGCTCTGTG